GTGATAAAGTGAGACTCTGTCTCTACAAAAGAAAGAAAAAAAAGAAAAAGGAGGAAATTGATGAAATCCCCACATTTTGTTGGAAGTTAGTATCTGGTAGTTGGCAGATCCTCTTGCTTTTTGTCAGCTGACTCTTAAGGGTTCTTTAGTATACTTATATTGGCAACAGGCTTGTACTTTCTCTGTCCTATGACACTGCCATCAGATGGTGGGAAAATTAGGGCAGGATGTTGCTGGGTATGCTATAGCTAAATCATATTTAGCTAGGAAGACAAGATTGGGAATGGAGGCAGAAGTCACTTAATTTTTTCTCCAAAGATTTATTAGGGGGGCAGCACCTATGGCTCAAAGGGGTGGGGCGCTGGCCCCAATATGCTGGAGGTGGCAGGTTCAAACCCAGCCCCAGCCAAAAACTGAAAATAAAATAAAATTAAAATAACATAAAACTTTACAAAAAGAGAGATTTATTAGGAAGTTTCTAATTTAAACATTGGAAGAATAGAACAGTTAGAGTGGTTTCTGCAGGATCCTTCTGGGCTTCTCTTCATTCCACATACATCTAGCACTTTCTGGGTGCCAGGCCTTGGGAATTAGTGAGCTATACCAGCATGGTCCCTGCACCAGTAGCACTGAGAATGCTGATGGGAGAACTCTGAGGCACTAGGGAAGACACAGCAGGAACATCTAACCTGGAGCAGTGCAGTGGTGATGCTGGTGGCTAGGGAGGACTTCCTTCAGGAAGAAGATCTGCAAGGTAGGGAAGTAGTGCTCCATTCAGAGGGAAAAGCATGTCTTAAGGTACTAAGGTGAGAGAGAGGCCAATGAGTATAAGGAAGTAAAGGAGGACCAGAGAGAGAGAAGGCTAGGGGAAAAGCAGGGCCAAGAGTCTTGCCATGTTGCTTTCTTAGTGTTAATGTTGTTCCCCTCTTAAGCACATTAGCTGACAATTGAGACTGAGCAGTGTCTGCCTGGGTTGTTGGTGGCTTGGCTATTTAGCACCAATGCAGTTTTTTCTTGTGTGTAGGGACAGGGTCTTACTTTATCGCTCTCAGGGAAGTGCCGTGGCATCACATAGCTTACAGTAATCTCCAACTCCTGGGCTGAAGCAATTCTCTTGCCTCAGCCTCCCAAGTAGCTGGGACTACAGGTGCCCACCACCACACCTGACTATTTTTTTGTTGCAATTTGGCTGGGTCCAGGTTTGAACCTATCACCCTCAGTATATGGGGCCGACGCCCTACCCGCTGAGGCACACCGGCCCTATCACCAATGTAGTTTGAATAACACATTTGACTTGCCCTCACCATGTACTATGTGGGGCCAGGTTTTGAAGGGTTGTTTTTTTACTGAGAAACCCGTACTGGATTCTAAGTGGAGGAAGTACATTAAAGGAGTTTGATGAGAAAGTCATGACGATCTTACACTCATGCTGAGGAAATAGTGGTAGGTAGAAACGCATCTGAATAAGAGATACTGGCTTTCGGGCTTAATGATTGAGTTTTAAACCTGGTTCTCTGTTTCTCCCAGAAATAAATGTTCAAATTCTATTCCATTTCACCATGAGATAGTAGTAGTTCTGATTTTAGAGGGTAGACCTGATGAGTTTATTTTGTAAGGAAGTAGATGTTAATCAAAAAAGTTAGTTTTGGATGGCAATAATTGAGACTTCTTTTCTGCCTAGTTTTTCTTTCTTTCTTTCTCTTTTTTTGTTTTTTTAGAGACAGAGTCTCACTTTGTTGCCCTTGGTAGAGTGCAGTGGTATCACAGCTCACAGCAACCTCCAACTCCTGGGCTTAGGCAATTCTCTTGCCTCAGCCTCCTGAGTAGCTGGGACTACAGGTGCCCGTCACAGTGCCCAGCTATTTTTTGTTATAGTTTGGCTGGGGCCGGGTTTGAACCCGCCACTCTTGATATGTGGGGCCAGTGCCCTACCCACTGAGCCACATGCACCGCCCTCTTTATTTACTTATTTATTTTTTTGAGGCAGAGTCTCCAGCTGTCTCCCTAGGTGGAATGCTGTGGCACTCATATCTCACAGCAACCTCCAACTTGGGCTCAAGCGATCTTCTTTTCTCAGTTTTTCTATTTTTAGTAGAGATGGGGGCTTGCTTTTCCTCAGGCTGGTTTCAAACTTGTGAGCTCAAGCAATCCACCCTCCTTGGCCTCCCAGAGTGCTAGGGTTACAGGTGTGAGCCACCATGCCCAGCCCTTTTCTGCATAGTTATTGTGGTTCTTACCTCCAGCTGCGCATTGCAATTACCTGCAAAGCTTTTAAAAATGTTGATGTCAAGGCCCCAACCTTGGAAGTTCTGAATTGATTTGTCTGAGGTACAGACTAGGGAGTATTACATTTTCAGAGCTCTCCAGGTGATTAACATGTATAGCCAGGGCTGTGAACTCATGGATTACATCAGGTCCTTATTTCCTTATAAACTAAATTTAAAAAACTAATAAAAGCAGTTCCTATTTAATTGGTAACTATTATGTACCAGATTCCTAAATATTGTTAGTATTATTTTTCCCATTTTAGCAATGAGTAAACAGAGGCTTAGAGAAGTTCAGTGTCTTGTTCAAGGTTAACAGCCAATAGAGGGTGAAGCATAGGTGCACCTGATTCCGGAGGCTGTGCTTTTTACTCTCATGCTCTACCATCTGCCATCCATTTTTTCTTTTGCCAGGATGACTTTTTTCTTGAAAGACATTTAGGCCAGGTGTGGTGGCTTATGCCTATAATCCTAGCACTCTGGGAGGCTGAGGCAGGAGGATTGATTGAACGCAGAAGTTTAAGACTAGCCTGAGCAAGAATCTCTACTAAAAATAGAAAAAGTAGCCTCGGCACCCATAGCACTGTGGTTACGGGGCTGGTAGGTTCGAATCGAATCTGGCCTGGGCCAGCTAAACAATAATGACAACTGCAATATAAAAAAAAAAAAGAGTTGGCGCCCTGTGGCTCAAGTGGCTAAGGTACCAGCCACATACACCTGAGCTGGTGGGTTCAAATCCAGCCCAGGCCCACCCAACAACAGTGTCGGCTGCAACCAAAAAAAATAGCCAGGCGTTGTGGTGGGCGCATGTGGTCCCAGCTACTTGGGAGGCGGAGGCAGGAGACTTGCTTGAGCC